CAGCAGCAGCAGCAGCAGCAGCAGCGCAGCAGCAGCAGCAGCAGCAGCAGCCATTAAATACACCACTAATGTGCACTTGGTAAAGCAGACATGGAAAAGATATTCAGATACTGTGTTGTGACTATATCTACAAAGATTAGAATAGTGCAAGCCATGGTATTCCTTGTGACACTATCGAAGTGAAAGTTGGACTTTGAAGAAGCAGGATAGGAAGACTATTGATGCTTTTGAACTTTGGTGCTTTGGTGTTGGAGAAGACTTCTGAGAGTATCATGGACAGCCAAGAAACAAATGGATCATCAAACAAATCAAGCCAGAGTTCTCACTCAAGGCACAAATGTCCAAGCTCAGATTACCACATTCTGGACATATTATGTAAGACCTAGCTCTCTGGAGAAGGCTCTAATGCTGGGAAAGGTACAAGGAAAGAGAAGAAGAGGATGACCAGCAACAAGGTGGATGGACTCAGTGCACTGTTGGAAGACCTGAAAGACTAGGTTAGGGAAGGATTGTCATGGAGAAAATCTATGTGGTCACTAAGAGTCGACACTGACTTGATGGCACATATAGGTAGTCCTCGCTTAATGACTGTTTGTTTAGCAACTACTCAAAGTTATGACAGCACTTAAAAAGTTACAACTGTTGTCTGAAGTTATGACCGTTGCAGTGCCCCCGTGGTCACATGATTGTGATCCAGGCGCTTGGTAACCAGCTCACACTTATGTTGGTTGCAGCATCCCAGGGTCACATGATCATCATTAGTGACCTTCCCAGATGGCTTCTGGCAAGCAAAATCAGTGGGGAACTGCATGATTCACTTAATGACTGCATGATTTGCTTAATGACCACCACAAAAATGGTCATAAAATTGGGTCTGGTCACATGATGTTCACTTAATGACTGCATTGCTTAGCAACCTAAATTCCAGTCCCAGTTGTGGTCATTAAGCGAGGACTACCTATAGTCAATCAAAAAATAATCACGGTAGCTGACTTCCTCTAGGATTTTTCAACTTTCCAATCCAGGCTGCATCCCTGGTATTCTGTAATACTCTTCCCATCCAAGTAATAACCTAACCAGGCTCTGCTTAGCTTCTGATTTCTGACAAGGTCAAGTAAGATTGCAGCTTTAATTTGTTCAGAAAAGATTCAAATAGACTTACATTCACTGAATTGCTAATCTAGTTATTCAGTGACAACAGCAGCAGTAGTAGCAGCAGCAGCAACATAGCAGTCTTTCTTATACATTTTTGTTTCTTTATGGGATCAGAGATGATAGCACAAGATGATTTACTTGACAGAAATAA